CTGTGTTAGCTTTCATGTTGGGGTTGTTTCATATGCCCCTGGATGAATGTGAGGAACTTTATCGAAAATTAGGATCCGATGTGTTTTCACAAAATGTCATTGTTGGGACAGTCAAAATGAGTTGGAGCCATGCATTTTATGACAGTCAAACATGGGAAAAGATTCTCAAGTAAGTTACACTTTTTTGCAATTTTTTTTCATTATATAGATAGTATTTGCATAATGTGAAAACGCAGAAAAGTATAAAGAAGAATATTAAATTATTAATTCCATTGAGTATAACCATTGTCAGTATTTTGATAAATTGTATTCCAGTCATTATTTTCTTGGTTTGTATACGTTCACATGCATGAGATTCACATGTAAAAAATTCCAGCTGAAAATAAGAGACCAAATTGTATATAGACCTTATTTTTATTCTGTTGCTTTTTTAGGGTATTTGCCTTTTAAAAATACTTTCACATATATTTTTCCAACACATCTAATAATTTGAAAATATTTTTATTATCAATATTTTGTTTAAGCCTATTTTAATGGTTATAGTTTCTCATTTATAAATGTACTACTGTTTTTAACAGAAAAATGAGCAATTTCAGATATTTTTGCAATTCTAAGCAATGGTTAGGAGGGCATACTAAGTCTCCTAGTTGTCTCTGTAAGGACAAAATCTAGAGGTGGCATTTTGAAGTCAGAGGTTATAAATAGTTTAAGAATCTTGTTCCGCTGAACTCTTTAAAATACTTGCCCCCATTTACCCAGCAGCATCAGTTTATTTTTCTATTCTATGAAATTTTTATACACGCAGTCTGAAGTTTCAATTGGTACTATTTTGAACATTTTTGAATTATTTTTATATTTATATTTCTTTTAAAATATCACTATGTTATATAATAATATTCCTCACTGTTATAAAGGTAGTAACCATTTGTTATGTGTTGAAAATAAGCTTTTTAATTGTATCAGATTTTTTTTAATCTAGAGATGTTTTTAAGCTTCATTTAGTCACATCTTTTCCTTTAGTGATTTTTAATTTTACTTTCATGTTTAGAAAGACTTTTCCATCCTGAAATCAGGTAATTATCTATTATTTCCTGTTCCTAAGGTTTGGTTATGTTTGAGTTACTTTCTTAATTCATCTGGAATATATTTTATTGTATACTTTCAGGATGTAAAACTTATTTTTTCAAATATTTAATTAAAATTTCTCAGCAATGTTTACTGAGTATTCCCTCCTATGCACACTGATTGTACCATTTTTTAAAGTATTATTTTTTCTTTCATACCTTAGGGTCTGTTTCTCAATTTCTACTTTTCTTTATTGATTCTTACAAATTTCTTAAGTTTTGTTAATAAATTCCTTTTTTTAAAAAGTGTGGTTGGAGTGAAAATTTACGAAGCATATTGGTTTTTCAGTCAATCGTTTGTGCACATGTTGTTCTAAAGTGTTAATTACCATAAACACAATGTTTAATTCCATATTGTCTTTTTGACATTGTTATTGGTGTTGTACCATCAAGGTGGAACAGACTTATACATGACCTTCCAGTGGGTGTTCAGAGACATTAAATAGCACAAGAGCAGACTGCCCATGTTTTTTTTCTCCGAGCAGCTAATAGATTTGAACTGTGTACCAGCACAACAAGAAATCTTTTTTTTTCTCCAATCCTGTTAATCTTCTTCACTTTATCTTTAGCATGAATTTTAAGCTACTCTTGTTATTGAAAAAGAAAAAAAATCCCATTGATATTTTGAGCAAAGTTACATAAGTTATCAATTATTTTATGGATGTTGACATCTTTATAATTGTGAAATATTCTCATCCATTAACAGTATGTGTTGCTTAGTTTCTTTTGTACCTGTTATGGGGCGGGGAAAGTCTAAATTCTCATGTAATCATAAAATCCTGATGCTATGATAATAATTGATTGAAGACTTGAAAATTTACTGTCAAACAAGCTCCTACTTAGGGATTTTTCTTAGTCCATTAGAGCACCTTCATATATTTGCAGTTTCAGTTTTGTCTTTAGGAAGCTTTAGCATTTTTAATCATAGAATTAATAAATGTGTGTGATCACTTATTTTTACTTCTTCTGTTTTTCACTCAGCCTTTGCTGCTAAACTAACTTCCTCAAAACGTAATAGTTTATGATGATGATGACTTCATGTCATGATTCCAAGTGTTTTTTCTGTGGTTCTTGCTTGCTGAGCTCACCTCATGAGTTTTCTCTGGTTGTAGTTCAGCTGAGCTAGCTGGTCACTCTTTCTCTGTGATCACTTATGGACTTTGTCTCATTATGGTGGATTCAGTGTTCCAGTTGGGCAAGCCCCAGCCCATAGTACTTGTCAAGCCTCAGATTATGGCATGTTTGCTGATATCCCATTGACCAAAGCTACTTATATGACCTGGTTCTCTGTGGGAAGGGAATATATGAAAGTGACAAGGAATCACAAAGGAAAGGCTAACAGGAATCTTCTGGAAACATATTTTTGTGTAAATTATGAAAATAACTGCCCAAGGATCATACCTTAATATTCTAGTAACTCAAATAATGACTTAGATGATTTTAAAAACAGTTAATTAGTGGCTCTGTGTTATTCGTTAAAATGAATTTAAATGCCCTGACCTGGTTGTTAGGTTAATCTGTGACTAGACCTTGGGCAGAATTAACGTCATCACAGGGCCTGAAACAACAACTTTGCTCTTCCCCTTTAACTCCACGTGGCCTGGATTTGCATGTGTTGCCATCCTTTCATATCTTTTTCAAGTGACTTCTTCATGGCTCTTCTCAGTTACTACAGACTCATGGTGTCCTTAACCCAAGAACTATGGAACTAGGGAGGCTTGGAGTTTGAATTGTTATGGATGTATACACTAGATTATAATTCTCAGGAGAAAGAGGGATTGTTATTTCTTTATTCTTGTCATTACAGAAGTACAGAGTGAAGGCTGCATAGTGGAGTGAACTTGTGGGGAGGGATTTCATAACAATTAAAGAGTTTTTATTTTCTTTTCAAGGAGGAGAGTGAAGGGGGAGCTGGGGTGGGCAGGGAGACAAGTGAAACAATGAATGACTGGAAACCCTAAGTCTCTGTAAACTTTCATTAAAATTAATTAAAAAAAAAAGAAGAAGAAGAAGAATTGATGCCTTTGAGCAAAAAAAAATATAGTTCCTGTGGCAAGCTGTGGTAGCCTGGTGACAAGAAGCTATACTGCAATCCCAGAGGTGCAGGTTTCGATCCACCAGGTGCTTTGGTGTAGAAGGAGGGACAATCACCTCCTATACCAGTCAGATCCGATTTGATGGTACACACATACAAAAAAAAACAACAAAAAAAAGCTCCTAGTGCTTTAGCAAAGCCTTGGGCAAACAAATTACACAGAATATTTTCCTTGATTTATAGAATGTAAAAACATTTTTATTCTATTTCTTTCTTCTCCTTTAATATAGGGATAGAATGGGATCTTCTCTAATGATTGAAACAGCAAGAAATCCCACATGTCCCAAGGTAAGTTGAGTCTTTTTTTGTTTTTCTATTTAGAAATATATTTAATCTCAAAGTTGGGAGTTTTTAAAATATGTGATACATGCTGTGGTCTTTGCAATCACTTACTATGCATCAGAGAGCTGGTTGATGACTAGGGAGGACAGAAGGAGAATTGATGCCTTTGAGCTGTGGTGCTGGAGAAGAGTATTGAACATACCATGGACTGCTAGGAAAACGGACAGGTTTGTCCTGGAGAGGGTGAAGCCAAGCTGCTCCTTGGAGGCAAGGATTCTGAAGCTTCGTCTGACATAACTTTGGACAAGTTTCAAGGAGGGACCAGTCCTTGGAGAGGAACATCATGCTTGAGAGGGTGGAGGGACAACACAGGAGAGGAAGACCCTCAATGAGATGAATTGATTCAGTGACTGGGGTAATAACGGGAGCAGGTATGTCGGAGATGGTGAGATTGGCACAGAATAGGGCAGAGTTTAGGGCTGTTGTACATAGGGTCACTACTAGTCGCAGGCGACTCGACGGCACATAACAACAACAACATATAACACCTAAATTAAAAGTGAGGGCAGGTGAAAACACCTGTTCTGAAGACCATTTTGTTAAGGGAGGAAATTCTTAGGAACCTTTTCTAATGTTATTATTGGTTTTGTTGTTGTTATGTGCTGTCAAGTTGCCTGTGACTCTTAGCAACTCTTTTGCACAGTAGCTCTTGAACTCCGCCCTATTCTGAGGCAATCTCACTGTCTCCAGCACACCTGCCCTTAATATCCCAGTCACTGTGTGAGTCCATCTCATCAAGGGTCTTCCTCCCCTGCATTGCCCTCCACCTTTCCAAGCCTGGTGCCCTTCTCCAAGGACTGGTAATAGGTAATGTTGTTGTTGTTATGTGCCATCGAGTTGCCTGTCAGTCATAGCAACCCTATGTACAACAGCTCTGAAGCCAGCCCTGTCCTGAGCCAGTCTAGATTATGTAAACTATTTGTGTAGTAGGTCATTTGGTGACTAGATAAGCTGTGATCACTAGACTCATTTTTATATCCTATAAAGATACAACTTTATAACATCAAAGACTGGTACTGAAGACAAAATTATTTTTTATTTATCATAGAATTAAGAAAATCAAGTTACTTAAAATTCTGATATCCTTTAGATTTGAGAAGAAATTTTAGATACATGTACAAATTGAGTTCTACTTATAAAAATGTATTTATTCTCTGAATTGCTTGGAAAAATAACAGGGTGGGAAAAAGAGTTTTGGGCTCAGAATGTGGACCCCTGAGTTCTATTCCTATGTCTGTCTCTTAACAGTGCAGATTCAGTTCTCTTTCTTAACTTCGGAAGAGTTTGTATCTGAAGGTAACTTTAGACTGTACATTTTGTAGGAGGAGGCTGCCCCTTTTTCGCCTCCAGAGCACCTGATGGAGCCAAACTTCTGACCTTTCTGTTAGGCGCTCAGCACCACCGGGGCTCCAGCAAGCCTGTGTGCCTCTGTGTGTATCTCATCCATCAGCTGCTCTGAGAGACAAAGATGGACAGTCTCCCTCCTTTGTGATTTGCAGCCTCAGAAAACCCACTGGAGGGTCAGTTCTGACTCGACGGCAGTGCCTGAGTGAGATGTCTATAGAGAGACAGATGTCAACATGTTTATGGGTTCAGAGTACACACACATGTAAATGGAACAGCCTCTTGTATATTTCTTCATCCAGCTTTATTTGTATACAAATTATTAGAAATAGTGCATGTATATTTATATTTTTAAACTATTAGTATAGATGGCCACCAAGAACATTTTTAGAATTCATTTTCTGAGAATGTTGCTGTCATATATTAGCCATAAAAATCATTAAGAAATTCTAATAAAAACTTTAGTGATTGTTATATTCATATTGATTTTTATTTTAACGCTATGGTTTCAAGCCAGCATACATACATGTGCATTTTTATTACATATTGTGCTGGCCTAGTGTTGCATTTAAGGAGGTTCTGTTGTATTATGTAACATAGAATTAATATAGCAATGTTTCTAACACAATACAAGCCCTCAGATGAACAATTATAGCTCAATTGCATGTGTTTTTTATTTGGAGAGAATAAGATGGCCTGTAACTTACTTTTGAATGCTTTTGGAATACTGATCTGGAAGTGAAAACACTCAGTGTTTGTTCCCCTGGTGAATATTTCTTGAGTGTCTGCCGTGCAGTAGACATTGCTGTGGCATAGCGCTTTCATGGTGAATACGAAGACAAGGACTCCGCTCCTGAAGCGCTTTCATCTCGCTGGCAGAGAGTGAGGCAATAAACAGTCATGGAAATCAGTCCTTCACATGTGTTTTGTGGGGTTTTTAAAAAAATTTGATGATTACAGATATTTTTCAAGAGTCTGTCTTCCGACTGGAAGTTTAAAGTCTAACTTCTTTCTTCTTCCTTTTTTGGGTTTCTTTTTGTTTGTTTGAGGGGGTTTTGTGTGTGTTTTGGGGCGCTTGGGGGTTTTTTGTTTGATTTTTTTTTTAAAATCCAGTTTATCTTTTCTTGTTTGTAGGTAGAAAAACAAATATTTTTTTCTCCTTGAAAGGAAAAATGTGTCGCTAGCACATGTCTGGGTGTGATGCTTCTCGGATTAATTGTGATTGAAACCCAGTCATCTGAGTCTGTTTTAGTTCTCTTTTAATAATAATTTTTACTTGAACTTGTTATGTCTTGGTACTTTCTTCTATAGTTTTCTTTTTCTATCTCATTTTCTTTTAGAAGATTCTTTATCTGCCTCGTTAATCCATTCTTTGTTTTAACAAGTTTTCACTTTAAAGTTTGCCCTTAAAAGGGCAGGTTATATTTTAACCTCCATTTTTCTGGCTTCATCTTACTTTGCTCGCCTCATTATTCCCATTTGACTGCTGCTCATGTCATAGTCTTACAAGCAAAAGAGTTTGACCTGGTAAACGTGTTTTAGAGGAGAGTTTTTCTTGGATGTTTTTCCCACCGAGTTACCAGATTATTCTCTTTTTTAAGCATCGTGGTCGGATGTGGGGCAGCTGGTGTAAATTATTAGATTGTGGTACTGAGCACTCTCTAGATGTTGTGTATCTATACAAAACCAACCTTGTTGGGATCTCACAAAGTGCTTTGGTGGAGCTGAGACTTCTCACTGGCTCTTAGATGCTGCACGCTTCCTTGTCATTGGCTTTACACTTTAAAATTCATCTTTGAATAAGCACATTATTGAGGCCTAGCATACAAAACTCAGTCTATTGTTATAGTCCTTGTTCTTGTTCCCTTGGAGAGCAGATCTGAACTGGAAAGTGTAAACGATCTTTAGCCTACTTTAAAATGTTTATTGAGAAATTCTCTAGGGCCACTGAGCTGAAGAAAGTAGATCTTACTTCCTGTTCTGACTGGTCCTCTGACTAAAGAATTTGTTTTATGCCCCTAGGAATTCCATACAGTATGTGGGTTTTTGTTTTTTGTTTTGTTTTTGTTTGTTTTATGTAATCATGAAAAACCAGTAACAATTCCCTCTGCTACTCTTACATGCCTGCATATTCGGGTTTTTTTATTTATTCTGTAGCTATTAATTATGTGCCCCTCGTGCCACATCTGTGCTTGCCGCTTTGAATACTTTCGTGAACACAGACGTGGAATGTATAGCACAGGAGGGCAATCTCGGCACCCTCAGCATTCACATAATTGAGATACTGTTTTCCAGAAATAAGTGTCATGGAGCGCACATGAAAGAAGCCTAGCCGTAAGGAAATAAGATTTGAGATTTCAAAGTCAAGGGTGGTAAGTTCCTAGCAAAAGGAACTTCCTATCCCAAAGAAATCATGGAAAATTCTATAAACCAAAAGACTAGCTACTGAGGATCTGCTGGGAACCTGTGAGATGAAACCGGAGAAGCAGGCAGATCAGGCCTTGAGGGGCATTACAAGGCCATGAAGATGGGGTACAGGTAGCACTTCTGGAGGACACAAGGAGCTGTCTGACTTGAAGGAAGGACAACCAGAGTGGCCCTTAGAGATAAGGATAATGACACTTCACTTACTTTGGGCGTATTTTCAGGAGGAACCAGTCCTTAGAGACAGCATACTGGGAATGGTGGAAGGTGACTGCCATGTAGGGTGTAAGCATGACAGATTGAGAAAATGGTATAAGATAAGGCAGAGTTCAAACCTGTGTTTCATGAGGTTCTGATGAAGCACAGTAGACTTAACAGCACCCAACAACAACCAGGGTTGTATCCCTTCTCCATACCTATTCCTTCTGTACGCTGAGCAAATTATTCTAAAGAAGAATGTGGCATCAGGACTGAAAGAAGACTCATCAGTAAACTTCCTTGCTTCATAAAAGTGAGGAGGACTTGAAGTGCTTTCTGCAGAAGATCAAAGACTACCCACCTTCAATATAGATTGCTTCTAAATGTCAAGAAAACAGAAATTCTCACCACTGGACCCTTAAGGCAACATCATGATACATCGAGAAAAGATTGGAACTGTCAGCCACTTCATCTTACTTGGATACACAGTCAGTATACTTGATACCAGCAGTCAGGTGATCAGGAGATGTTTTGCACTGGGAAAGTCTGCAGTCGGGGACTTCTCCAGACTTTTGAGGAGCAATGATGTTAGTCTGAGGACTAAGGTACACCTTATTCAGGTCATGGTCTTTTCAGTTATGTGTTATGCTGCTGAGAGCTAGACAGTGAGTTAAGATGATGGAAGAATCGATACCTTTGAGTCGTGGTGCTGGAGAAGAGTACTGAGTATCCCATGGACTGCCAGAAGAACAAACAGATTTGTCTTAGAGAAGGTGCAGCCTGAGTGTTCCCTGGAGGAAAAGATGATAAAACTTCTCACATAATTTAGGCATGTTGCTAAGAAAAGGCTATTCATTGCAGGGAGACATCATCCTTGGGAAGGTGGAGGGACAGTGAGAGAGAGGAATACCTTGAACTAGGTAGATTGACGCAGTAACTGTAGCAATGGGCTCAAGTGTGTCAGAGATGGTGAAGATTCACAGAATAGGACAGGGTTCAGATAGTTGTTCATAGGGTCGCTGAGTCAACAGCAACTAGGAGTCATGATACACTTCTTCCTTATTCCATTGTATCTTCAGGCTTTCTTAGTTTATTGTGGGTGGGTTTTATATATATATATTTTTTTTTTTTCAAATTGAGAGGTGGCAGCTATGAATAATAATAGTTTGTGAGGTTCTTTTTAAATAAGAAAACCAACTCAAACTTATTGCCATTAAGAACCAACTCATAGCTGACCCTCCAGCAGGGTTTCAAAGGCTGGAAATCACGTGAGGGGACATGACTGAGCTCTTTCCCACTGAGCAGCTGGAGAACCGCCTGAACTGGTTGGCAGTGCAGCTTACCCAGTAGGCCACCAGAGCTCCCTAAGGGTGCTTTAGCCTCTTCAAAAAGAATTCACCCAGGGACCTCTGCACTGTAATCCTGAGGGCACGTGGGTTCAAATCCACCAGATGCTCTACTGGAGAGGAAGGGGCAGTCTCCTCCTGTGACAGTTGGATATGACTCCACCACACACACACACACACACACACACACACACACATACAAATTCACCCATTTGATGTAGACTAGCCCTTCCGGTATTCTTCACCCAGCTGTATCTAGACACCAGTCAATACAAAGACCCTTTGACTTTCAATGCTTGGCCAGCTCTTTACCTTTAATGGCCCAGAGACACACTTGGATCACTCATAGTAATTTGAAATGTGACCTTTGGTTTATGAAATCATACATCAAATAAGGCCCCAGCTGAATTTTGCATAGGACATGAACAGCTTTGACCTACTCAAATACTTTTCAGTATTTTGCATTTAGATTGTAAATTGTTAAGCAGTTTAATATACTTTCCATAAATTCCACTGATATCAATAAAATCTGAAAACAAGGGTTATCAACATTGTAATTCTTTAAATAAAACTACTCAGCTGGCAAGTTTTCATAACTGTGATAAAACCCCCCTGAGGATTTTTCAACTTTATGAGGCATGATGCTTTCAAATAACACCAAGACAAATAATTCCTCAAAAATCACTTTTATTTGTTCATTATTCATGTATCAATTATGGCATAAAGGTCTGGAAATATACACCTTCTTGAATGTCTATTTTAACAACCAATCAATTGTAGTAAAAAAAATGTTTGCATTGTTCTCTTAGGGTACATTTCTGGGTATCATTTTAGTCTTTGTTTCTGTTGAAAATTATCCGCTTTCTCAATGTGACATTTGTGTTTTATACTTGTATGGATGCGTACGTGCATTAGATTTTTCTTCTCACCATTAAGTGTTCTGTTGTTACATGCCATCAAGTTGGACGACTAATAGCTGACGTTCATCTGGTTTTCAGAGGCCGCCTAACACAACACGGGAGGCGCTGGCCCATCTTTTTCCTCACTGTCAAGTGGTATTTATTTTTCATAGATTGCCGATCTTGCTGTAATAAATGGGTGCTGTCCCCTTCTTCATTCACTAGGTAGCTGCAGTGAGTACCTTAGTGAACAAAGGAGTAACACCGAAAGCGTTTGTGTTCCGGAACTATGGTCATTCTCCAGGGGTCAACTCGCACTATCTGGGGGGCTGTCAGTATAAGCTGTGGCAGGCCATTAGAGCGTCGTCCGCCGCCCCTGGCTACTTTGCAGAGTATGCGCTGGGAAACGATCTTCATCACGTAAGTTCTCTGTATGGCTTTTTATCTTCTTGCATTTTATGTGATTATAGCAAGTCAGCCCTTATTAAATGCCCGTTAAACTTCAAAGGGATCAAAGGTGACCTGAGACTTTCTTCTTCTGTCTTCAGGTGGCAAAAGATGAGCAATTATTTGTTTTTCTTACTTTAATTAGTCTTCTAGCCTGAGTATATGTGAGGATAAGGTTATTTTACACTGATTCACAGACAATTAAGGTCATTTTATTGTAAGCAAATATTGTGTCGTATGTCTGACTTGCTTTCTAAATGTGATAAAAGTTTAAACAGAAGCAGACAATACAGAACCCAGTCTGTTCAATACTTTTGGTTGGCATGTTTTGAAATAATAATAATAAACACTCATTAAATTAGCTACATAGCAGACACATGCTTAATCCTTTATCTGAGTTATCTTATTTAATAACTAATTATGAAGTAGATAGAGTTACTACTATTTTTAAAAATTAGATACTCAGTTCTTAGGAAAAGCTATGTCACTAGAGTTGGATCATAGCCATTAAGTGACAGGATGCAACCTGTAACTGCTCTGTTTTGTGATTTCTCTTCCAAAGACTAATATTGATAAGAATATTCTATAGATTGAATGATCATGATTGATTCATGAAGGACAGCATTCAGTGTTCCCACACCTTTCTAAGCCTTCAAAAGTTGCTTCACTGTTTAAAACTAAAACTAAAATTTGATACCTATTATAGTCTTTTCATCCTATGTTCTTTGAATAAGTGTATTCAATTATTCTGTTTCATTTTTTAAAAATTTCCTATCATGTCCTACCTATGTTTTAATGTATGTAAGTCACTTTAAATATATTTCCTTTTTTGGAATCAAGTAAAGTGTGGACTGTAAATTGAAGAAAGGATTGAAATGGGAGAAGGATGGGAAGTCTACTCCCATGCGATTAATCGCCTCTGAAAACCCACTAGAGGGTCATCTGTGGGTTGGTTCTGACTGGACAGCACACAACGATGACATTTGGTCTCAGAAGTTATTGAAAGTAGAGCTGTAATTAAAACTTAGGACTACGTGCATGGAGAGATTTCCTTTGTCTTTATATATAAAGACACTAGTATGACAGCATGTAAAACGTTGTATGACATGTCCTGGAAAGTTACAGAGTAGAACAAATTACTTTGGGTAGATTTTAAGGTCTTTGGCCAGCCATGAACATTGTATTTTTAATTAATAAACTGAAGCAGCATTACTATCAGATCAAACCTACTTCTCACAATTTTAACTTACACTGTGGTAGCTTTGTTAGGAATCTGAGGGAGGGAGGTCTGGTGGTGTACTCTGTAGAAAGTGACCTTGCTAGCCCAAGTTGACGCTTCTCTGCTGGTTTGAATCCACAGGCTGGTCCTCAGCAGAAAGATGAAGATAGACAGCCTCCTCCCAATGTGATTTACAACCTTAGACACCTGCGTGGAGGGTCAGCATTGAGTCAGAACTGACTCGGTGACCAGGAGAGGAGGAGCCTCTGTTATGCTACATTGACTTGTACCATCAGCATTTAACTATGTTTATAAGGTGGCCACTAACAATTAAGTCTGTTGAATCCAAAATAAGATAAACATCTTACTTACCATGAGTGCTGGCTGCCATTCCAGACACGGGGGAGAGAGGCTTCATGGTTCCTAGGTCAGCTGCTGTCAGACGAAAGGCAAAGAAGGTGAACTGTTTTCCCCATTTCAGACCTGTGCTATTCACAGCCCAGCTTTTTGGAATCTCGGTTTCATAGACAATCTCAGTTTAGGTACATCTCACATACAGATGAACACTTGTGAAAAGAGCTCACAATTGGAACACATCATGGGTTCATGAATAAATATGCCCCTGCTGACAAGAGATGTCTTCAAAAGAATGTTTTCTTATCAAAGTCACACTTAAGGAAACATAAGATACATATAAGTGGTATAGTTAGTGAATGGTGGAGATGAACAGTTTAAGATAAAGAAGAGGTTAGATTGGAAGTGGTAGCAAACATGCACATTAAAATGAAGTAGAATAGAAGACTTTTTTTTAGAAAAAAAAAGTGACAAAAGCTTTTCTGAGAGGCCAGGCCGCCCTGTAGTTCTTTGTTCTCCCGTGGGTACCACACTGGCAATGAGCAGCTTATGCCACGATGAAAGACATTTAGATTCTGATTGGCTGTTCCATGACTAAAGAACCAATTAACTTTCCCTAGGGAATGTGATTAATTTGGGGGATATTTCTGCCCAGTCTAATATGATCTCTCTGATCAAACCAGAAATATATTTTAAGAAATATATTTTGGGGATATATTAATATTTAAAATCAAGAATGACTATTATATATGAATTTTCAAATCAGTACTGTCTCACCTCTTGCTTCCATAAAGCTGAAAAATTTTGAAAAGATAAAGTTTCTCTTCCACATTCCAGGAAAAAAAATTACAATCACATCCTATATGTTTAAAATTGGACTTTTAAGCCAGAGAACACCAATACTGACAATGGTGGGAGGGAAGGGAGGTGATTTTCCACAAGGTGAGGAAGATACTTGGGAGAAAGCTCTTTGATCCTTTAATTTGTTATTACCGTATTAAGAATTGTGTTGTTGCTTGTGCCGCTTCTGTCTTTATCAGAAACTTTCAAACTATTGAAAATTGTCAACAGGAATTTAAAAAAACAAAAAAACAACATCCCAAACCCAAATATTTTAGAACTGGAACTGAGAGAAATTGGCCTATTTCTTCATTCTGTATGTTTCTTTATTATTATTAATATTATCAGAGATGGTGAAGTTGGCACAGGATGGAACAGGGTTTAGGGCTCTTGTACATAGGGTCGCTGTGAGTCGCAAGCAACTCGACAGCACATAACAACAACAACATTATGATAATAAAA